TCTCCTCTGATGCCATCAATGACAGTAACAAGGAAGCCACTGAGTCAGGTGAAGTAAGTAAGTGTTTTCCTTTCTTCTCTTTCTCGGTGTATAATTATTGACTGACTACTGAGTTCATAAGGAAATTTTTATCCCAGCTATATCCCCCAATGTGTCCCCTTGCCACCCTCTTAGGTAAGCATTTTTACCACAGTTCATTTGGAAACAGTTTAGACAACTGGCCTAAGGCATTAAAAATGGGGGCTGTCATTTGATTTTATAGCAACATTTGATTGTGTCCAAATTCTAAGGTAACTTAACACATCACTAGAGAGTGCTTGATCTAAGATGCCCTTGGGCACCTGGGGGGATAGAAAGCCAGGAAATAAATTGCTACAAGAATCTATATTCACTAGTATTATTATTTTCCTGGGTGGGTTTCCTAGAGCATGATCTCTACACACTACACACAGCTAGTTCAGAGCAGCCTGTGCTCAAAGAACTGTCTCACCTGAGCAAAAACTTCCGCCAAAAGCAGCTCGGTCAGACCAAGTGGTGAGCAGAGTATGTGTTTCCTCCATGTCTCATTAGAACAGCTGCAACCCCGTCCCCCACCCCACTCCCGAATATGAATGGGGAGAATTATCTCTTCAGTGTGAGGTCTAAACTAGGGGATCATGAAGTGAGGATATAGATAGGTCAGAGACCTTAGTTTATAGACAAGTATTCACAACGATACCATAGCTTCATCTTTAGACCACAAAGCAGCCAAGTGTGTGTATTCAAAAGGCCGTGGGTGGGGCTGGAAGAGTGTGCCTGGGGTTCACAGTAGCCACTCACAAACGTAGGCACATCTCCCTAAAATCCTTTAGAGACAAACCCCACAAATCTCCACGCCGCTATAAACCCACTGTCTGAGAGTGAGCAGGGCAGAGGCCCACAGAGTGAGTGAGGAGGAGAGTGAGCAGGGAGGGGGCTCAGGTGAGGAGGTGAGCAGGGAGGGGGCTCAGGGAAGGAGGTGAGCAGGGCTTGAATTGAAGGGGCTTCCTGTTGACCAGGCTACTTTTCACTTGGGCCTCTGCAAGGTCCCCTCGGCCATTTTGGCAGGCACATTTCTTTGGACTGGAAGCCATCCTGGTCTCTCCCAACACCTCCTCTGGACTGATCTTTGGAAACCAACATAGAAAGCCACCCTGCGGGGAGGGAGGAGGAAGAAATATTGTGCCCCAGTCAGTAGAGGCCTGCTCTGGGCTAAAGAGGGTACTTCTCAGGTATTTGATCTCTCTCTCTCTCTCTCTCTCTCTCTCTCTCTCTCTCTCTCTCTCTCTCTCTGTGTGTGTGTGTGTGTGTGTGTGTGTGTGTGTGTATGTGTACATTGTTTTCATGCATGGGTGCACCCGTGTCTGCCTGTATATATTTGTGTGCATTCTGCCCTCCCAACACTCTCCTTTTGAGACTACTAGCAATTAAACTGTAATACTGGCCAGCAAGTCCCAGGTCCCCTAGGGATCTGCCTATTTCCGAGACCCTACTACTAGGATTACAAGCTCTCGTCCCTTGCCCAAGTTTGTGCACATGAGTGTAGGTGGCCACAGATGTCAGAAGAGGGGGTTACAGGCATTTGTGAGCTGCCTGATGCCTGCTGGGAGCTGCTAAACACACTTCCTCTGCAAGGGCAGCACTCGCTCCTAATGGCATTTGAGCCGGCTCTCTTGTCCCAACATCCAACTTCTTACATGGCATTGGGGCTAGAGCTCAGGTCCTCATGCTTACAGGGCAAGCACTTGGTTAACTGAGCCACCTCTTCAGCCCAGCAGGTGTTCCATCCTTCTGTGTAGCTGGAGGGAACCAGGACTTCTGGCAGAGCCAGCAGGGCTTGGAAGCTTACTGGAGCAGGTGAGGGCTTAGCTCAGCCTGTCCCAGGTGCTGGGGGAACTGAGGTGATACCTCAGGGAGGAGGGAGTTAGGAGGAAGAGGGTCTCCAGTTCAAATTTAGCCTTGGCAACTCAGTGAGCCCCAGAAAGCTGGGGTCACAGCTCAGTGGTAAAACACTTGGCTTAGCATGAGCAAGGCCCAGTCCTGGGAAATGTTAGCACAAAACACATCCAAGGGCTCAGAGCCTCACTGAAGGCTGGCACCCTGCAGCTCCATCTCTCACAGTACAACCTTCCATTCTAAGAAAAACCCAGATCAGTACAGGATTCAGAGAGCATGCAGGGAAAAGGTCAGCAAGAATCTGAAGAGGGAATCTGGGAATGATGTGGTCTGAATGTGAAACCAGCCACAACTGTCTTCCGTGGGTAGGGGCCCTTCCAGACTCTGAGAAGGAGTGCTCTTAGCTGGACAATTTCGGAAAGGTCAACATGGTAAAAATACGAATAGAAACAGCAGCGGCAGATGAGCATAGTGGTGCTGACCTGTAATCTCAAGACATGAGGCAGGAGGACTACAGGTTTGAAGCTACCCTGTGCTATATAGCAAGACTCTTGAAAAACAAATAAACAAACAAAAGACACCCATTCTCCAACACAGACACATAAAATCCTATATTTGGTAATAGGGCCTGGAGAAGCCAATGTTTTCATTTTAAGAATTAAAGTTCCAATTAGTAGCAAATCATATTCTAAAATACATGCTCCTAAAGGCAGATTGAAATGTTTACACAATCAGTGTTTAACACAGGCTTGCACACCTGCATGTACACACGCACGCACGCACACACGCACGCACGCACGCACGCACGCACTTTAAGGAATTGGGTAAAACTAAAGTGTTAACTGTGTATTTCTGGAAACCACAGCTGAGCACCCAGTGGCCTGAATCTTTGAGAAATTATGCAAAGCATTAGGAAATAGAGGGAAGACTTATTTCAAAGAACTCCCTGGAGCCGCAGAGGCAGCTCAGGCCCAGGGCAGTGTGTCCCTTTGCCTGTCTGTCAGTAAGGGCCTCTGGCAGCTTACTGAGCAGAGTGTCCCACAGGCCACCCCATGCTTGAGTGTGAAGATGGGAATCTGCCCTAACTGGAGATTTTATGATCGATTAAACCCTGAGCTCACTCTTGGGAGGCAGCAAGTGAGTTTTGCAAGTAAAATTGGAGCCGGGTTCTCAGTTTCTGAATCATTTAAAACACAAAACCTGCTTCTTTGGTAGTTCTATAGGCACTGAGAAAACAAAACAAACAAGTCTCAAAATGACAAGGGACACCTATGCCCTCCCTTGTTTGCGGGTGAGCAATGGCACTGAGGGTCTGTTTAGATGTCATCAAGGCATCACCTAAAAACGCTCAACTAAACCACTGCGAATGTCAGGCAGGGTTAGAAATCTCCAGATGCCAGAGGCACAGGATGAGTTTCTGAACAAACGTACTTGACTTGAAAAGATGCATAAAAATTAGTCGATGGATCCACAAATATGTCAAGTAGGAGGGAAGAACTTGCCACCAGCTGTGTTAACCCTGGATCCACAGGGGGCTTAGCTGGAAGGACTGCCTTCAAAATTGTCCCAGCATCACAAACCTAATGTGGACACTCTCTAAATGATCCCATGGCGGGAACAATGGCTACCACACAGGGGCCTCTGTCTCATGAACACCCAAAGAAAATGAGACATCGTTAAGTCTTGCTGGATAGATGTTAATGTTTTCCTATTGAACAGGACAGGACAGGGCTGGGACATGGGTCAGTGGGCCAACTGTTTGTCCCAAAAGCTTGAGGACCTAGGTTCAATCCTCCAGAGTCCACTGGGGAGCCAGACAAGCTCATTGGCCTGCCAGTCTGGATAAATCAGCAACCTTCAAGCTCAGCAAGAGATCCTGTCTCAAAAATCAAATGTAATCAAATCAAGTAACGTGAGAAAATGAAGAGTAACTGAGGAAGATACCCGCTGCCACCTCTCTCTCTCTCTCCCTCTCTGTCTCCCGTGAGAAAATGAAGAGTAACTGAGGAAGATACCCGCTGCCACCTCTCTCCCTCTCTCCCTCTCTGTCTCTCTCTCTTTTTCTTTTTGTCTCCTTTCTTCTTTTTCTCTTTCTCTGTTTCTCT